TGGATTTTAGCATGTGTTTGTTCTTTAAAAAAAATATCAAGTGATCTTTTGAAAAGTTCGTGAGAAATAATATTCATATTCACTACAGTTGCATATTTTGTGTAGCAGAAATATTGCCATTTGATGGAGAATTACAAAGAGCTTCTGCTGCTCCGGCTGTCATGATATAACCACAAAACAGACCACCTACAGAAACATGAAAGAAGTCATAAAAACTGCATCAACCCTCCTATCTCTACTCTCTGCAACATGCTAATAAACACCAGGAATGTTTTCAGTTCCAGTCTGTTCCAGTCTGTGAGGAGACGGAGAGCTTAAAACTCTCAGCACATTAGCTCTGTCAGCAGGGGGGCCAGGATGGCACTGAGAGAAACACAGACACACAGCGGATAAATGAGTCAAGCGGGCATGAAACAACACGACCATGTAAAAACCCTCTGAATATCATTAGCATTCACATGGCTTATTTTCTGCCAGGTCTGCTCTTAACTAATTTTCACCACTGCAAAATAATTAGTTGTTGGTAAGGGATAGGGTCTTTAGACAAGACTGGGCCTATAAAATGTAATTAGGAGTTAAAGCTTACAAAACTAAATCACTATATTGTTTTCTACTGATAGCAGCAGTGGTAGTAGTAGTAGTGGTGGGTATTCATATAAGGATGTGGGGATGACAATGTCCCAGAGGATGAACCATAATTTTTGACTTTATCCTTCCACCAGGAGGTTGACATTTGCGATTTTGAGTCAAGTCATCAACTGTTGGGTGGATTATTATGAAATTTGTTATATATTTTCACGTTACCCTCAGGATGAATTGAAATCACTTTGCTGATTCCTTAAATTTAGGAGCAGTGTGTAGGAATTAGAAACATGGCGGTGCAACATGGTTGGCGTAGATACGATGTGGATATGAAGGGCTCATTCTATGCTAACGAAAACACAACAACTATTAGTTTCAGGTGATTAGAAAATGAAAACATAATAATGAATATATTTCATTTATGTCAATAGTTCCCCCTAAACCCCCAATGTAAGCATTGTCTTTGTGAGCATGTTAGCAAGCTGAGGATAGCATTTAACACAAAGCACCACTGTGCGTAAGTCTAGCCTCACAGAACTGCTAGCATGTCTGTAGACTTTTGTTAGTATTTATTTAATTTAAAAACTAGATTGTAAATTAGTAAAATAGCAGCACTATCATCAAATAAATTCTCTCCAACATCAGCATGGAAATTGTTCTATACAAACCCTATAACTTTGCTGCTGCCTGGATCATTCTATATAATTTTAAAATTTTTGGTTTAATAGGAAAACAATATTTCGACAGTTGTACCTTCACCATTCTGTAGTTTGCAGAATCCAATTAGGAAAAACTGATTTTCAAAAAAGTCAGCACTTACATTGCAGTTTGAAAATACTGATTTCCTCAAATGCCAGTAATGGGTTCATTTTTTAAATGACAGTACTGAAATGTTGTACATGTGTTCAACCTTTTTCTTCACCCCTTGCTCGGCTTACTGACATAGGGGAATAAGAGACACTCAGGCTGCATACTTGGCTTCTCTTAAATGCCATTCTTCCCCCATCAGCCAATCAAATCAAATTGAGAAGTCTGGGAGAAGAGGACCTGATGCTGCAGCGATTACCAGCGAGGAGAGAAAAACGATGCAGACTTCGTCTATCTCCTCATCCTGCTCCATCTCCTTCCCTCTATCTTGGCCCTAATCCACTTAGTTGGCTCTTCCCGAGCTTACAGCCTTTCCTTTATTCCATTATAAAGACCCACCGTACGACCTGCTGCTTATTTCATTAAAAAGGCCCAATCCATGACCCCAAGTCTAATCCATAATGGAGACTACAGGCTAGCCATGGCCCACTATAGTCCACGCCACCGTCCAGCAGGGTGCCTGACAGATGGGACAGAGGGAACAGGGATGGAGAGATAGGGGTCCAATGAATGAGGGAGAATTTGAGAGCTCCGCTTATGAGTGAAGCTTCCTGGTGAATATGATTTCACTGATGTAAATGATGATAGAGTTGAGGCTTTGCTACTCTATCTTTGATGGTTGGAGATGGCTTTCACATGGCCCATCAGTGATATGGAAATGGCCACATCTAAGGGTTGAATATAGCCTGTAAAATGAGCAGAAAGCCCGAGGCTTTCAAAACCCAAAACACCTCGACTTCGAGTGTATATTGTAGTCAGTACTGTAGCTCATTACAGTTAACCTTGGGAGAACTTTGCAAAGCAAACTGAGTGATGCTGAATCATATGATAATATTTATTGACTTTGTCCAATTTGACTTTGCCTCCACTCCCCCCGCTTGACCTTCTCTCTTCTCTGCCCACCTCTGGCTGCCCTCTACCCTAAATGCCCTCTCACAACAAAGATCCAGTATGCTGAGTGTTTTCATCACGTCCACAAATCTAAATTTACAACCTGCCTCCTGTCAAACCTAGCTTCCCTGTGTTTGCACTTAATGGCCTATCAGGTTGCGTATTTATTGATAAAGCAGCACTATTTAGCTCTGAGTACCTGGCTTCCCGCATACCTGCGCCAGCTCTTTAGAGCCCGGCCAGTCATTCTGACAATGCAGCGTCAGTTAAAAGAGACACGTCCCATAGAGATAACATCTTACACTGGTTGATGGGAAAAGGGCTTGTTTTGCAGTCTCTGTCCAGTGCTCAGCTCATGTTATTAAGAACAGTTAACTAATAATAATTACTTTTAACTGGGTTCAGCCGGAGAGCCGCAGCCAGAGGCTTGGGGACATACAATACGGGCAGGAAGTGGCTACAACCCTCTCTCCATCGATAACACCAGCATATCTCATTACCGTGGCGACCTGTGGTACACTGCCACTCGGTCTTGATCATATAAAACCCATTTCAGTGTGCCGTCCCTGCCGGAGCACCAGCAGACTGGAATATTCATTATTCAAATTTTAAGCATTGGAAATCCCAATATGTTACTAAGGCCAGATGAGATGAGATGAAATAGCTTAGCCTTTTGTCCAGGGAACACTGACTAATCGTCTCGCTCCCCAAAATCAATTTCCCAGCCGTAAGCATCACACTCCTGATTGTACTGTACTGTTGAGGACCCCCCATCACTATCACCTAATACTCTTTCTGGCTGCCCAGAATAACTTATTGATTAGTGATTATGTTACGGGAGGTGAGGGTGGCCGGGGCGGAAGACGGACTGGCCTCAGTCATCTCCACAGAGCTAAATTTGGGTCCTCTGTTACCAGATCCAGCACATACTGACACTATCACCAGCTGCCACCAGTCATCAGCCACCAGCCCTGCTCTCAGGATGAAGAGAGAAATTAAGAATGATTTCTGGAAGTATAAATATGAGGGTCATTTTTTTAAGGGCTTATGGTGTCAGGGGTGTTTGAAGCAAAGCGGCACAGCAGGGATTTCATGTCAGATCATAAATTCTTAGATTTGGTGCACTTGTGAACTACTAAATAAAGAAATAAGCACAAATATTTCAAAAACAGGGGATGGATGATTATTAAATTTTCAGGGTTTGATGGAGGTTCTGGTTTGGCAATGGACTGTTTCACCCCCAAGGTATTGGGCTGAGCTCTCCCTCTCTCTCTGATTCTGTGCTGAGCCTGAAATGTGGCTGTGATCAATACCTGCAGGCCCTTTCCCCTGTGCCAGAGGGTTGTTTGTGTGTGTGTGTGCGTGTGTGTGCTGTGTCAGCATCCACTCAGGAACTCCATCAAACACCCCCCATACCCTGACTCCACACACACAGACACACACACATATACAAGACGCCCACATCGGCCGACGCTCCGCTCAAACAGTTGCTCATTTTCACTTTCCCCTTCTCACCCACCACCCCTATCTCACACACATAGAGACACACACACACACTCAAATTTACGCCTCCTTCCTCCTATTCCAGGCCATCCCAACAAGGATGTTAAATACCATTCAAATGTCAGCCTGCCGTATTGATTGGAATAATAATTCTGAAAGGTAGGAGAGATGGCTTGTTGATGCTAAGCAGGCGCGTGACGGCCTGAGCATCCTTCACTGTCACAAAGTTGCCATGTAAGGGTTCCCGGCTCCTCTAGCAGAATGTGGATGGTGGTTTACGTTAGACCACCGAGGCCGTATGTTTCTGTCATTAATCATTGTCCTCACAGGCCAGTGACAGACAGACCGGGATCCATGCTGAGAGAGGAAGAGGGTCATTTTAAATGCCCTCAGATCACAGTGGCTGTGTATGTATGTGTGTGTGTGTGTGTGTGCATGAATGTTGGACCAGAGGGTATGTTCATCACCAGGTGGTTTTCATTTGTCTGTCATGTTTAAATGTAAGGAAAGACATAATTGATATTCAACCATATGGAGGTCATATAATTAAAATTATAATCTGATAAACTGATTTGTTTTAACTGGAGCCATGATAACAGACTAATTATTATTGTGGAACATTACATATATATTAATCAGTGGTTTTAATCATTTGAATTCAATCAATCCCCAACTTCTGTATGATTCATGTCAATAATTCTTGTTAGTACTTACCCTTATCTAGCCGATCAAATTATTGCTATTTCTGGTTCTCAAATAGTCCCTGGGAAAATCTTTTTTCCTCATTTCCATGAAGATTTATTCACATGTACTGAGACTCAAGAGTGATGTTTGGTCCTGGGAGAGTGTAGAAGATGCAAGAGTAAACAAAGGATGATTTTATCAAAATTTAATTGTCATATAACTGAATAATATAGCTCCCATTTCCTAATTTCATAGTTTCATAGTCTCATGGTTTCACATTGGTCCAACACTCCTCTTATATGCTGCTCAGTATAGATCCAATGTTTTTAATGGTAATTATTTTGAAAATTTATATTATTCTGCAGTTCTGTTTTCTTAGAGGTGAATTCTGGTTTTATATTAAAAGGCGTGAACATGTGTGAAGACATTAAGTACTAAAGTGTGTCCCTAGTCAAGTCAACATGGACCCTCACCTGGCAGGTACCTCGATGTTTGAGATGGCATAGAAGTACTTGAGCAGGTTATCTCTCTGGACATAGGTGCCTCCGAGGGCCGGCCTGAGAAGCCTCAACCTAAGGTTGGTGAAGGTGAAGAAGTCCCTCAATCCCTTCATACTTTCCATGCGAGTGTACAGACTGTCCATGTTCTGTAGCCGCGGTCCGGCAAACACAGCAAAGCGCGCCCGCACCTCAAACTTCACATTCTTGTCACTCTTGGAACCGACCCAGCGCGAGTACTGCTCAGTGCAGATGACCCGTGTGATGTTGGCGGGCGAAAGGTCACGCACTTGTTTGGGTGGCATGTTGAAGGCGTCCAGGCAGTCGTCAGCATAGAACTGGTAGGGCTGCCAGGAGCGCCCGTGGTCCATGGACTTATCCAGTACCATGATAGTAGGACGGCCATACTCAAAGGTGATCAGGATGTCGTCTGTGAGCTCCAGACTCTTGTTCCAAGACATACTGATGTTGGCCAGCAGGGGCTCTGGGTGACGTCTCCATGTGACTGTCTGCCAGTACGTGATAAGGCCGTTGCGTTCACGGTCCTGCATCAGCTGAGGAGGGTGGGCCAAGTCTGGGTTAGAGGCATCACACTCGTCACTGCACAGGTATGGGTTCTCCTGAAAGAGAGATTAAGACAGAGCCGTAAGACATCAGTTCGGGTTGGAGAATAAAACTAATGATAAAAGCCTATAGATCATAATCTCTTTATATCTGAATGTATATCCTTTAAAATAAGAAACCCATAATCAGCATATATCTAAATAAGTCAGGGACAATTTACCTTCTACGGGGCCATGGAGCAAAGTTAAGCTTTGGGTCTCATCTCCCAGGTTGCCCCCTACTCTTTGTGCATTTTATTTGTGTTCTGTTGCTTTTAAGTACCCATCAGACACAGAGCACACAGCAGACTACCTAAGGCAGTTTCATTATACTGTAGCCCAGAGCTCTAGAAACAATAAGTACTCCAATGCCAGAATATTAACTTGCCCTGGGTTTGCTTGTTGTTAGTTAGGTAGTGGTAATTTTATTAAACACAATGTTAAGTAAACATAATATAAATTGATATAATAAAGGTGTAAAAAGATACTTTTTGAGACGGGGTTAAAAAAAAAAAAGCCCAAACCACCTTAATGCTCATGTTACTCCATTTATAATGTGCTTTCAAGGTGCATCAAATTACCTCAAAGTGATTGGCACACAGAAAACACGGGGCATTTGGGGTCCCTGGGGCAGCTGGCCTGCTTTGCCCATTTGGTAATCCAGCCTCACACAGACCTTGTCAAAATATAATTTCAGCAAAAATGTCTCAATTGACGAGAAAGGAAAGTATCATGTTGCAAAGTTTGTAGCTGTTGTCATAGGAAAGGCAACTGAAAAGTATCTTGAAATATGGAATTAAAATTTCCAATCTCCTCCCAGGTTAAGGATGCTCCCCTTTACGTAATCGTTGTTATCATTACTGATTCAAAATATGTGCACTTTTTCTGCCGTCAGACTCTCCACACAAACATCCATATTGCTACCATAAACGATGGTGTGTATCTAAATGAGGAATACCTTGATATCCTTGCCAAGGGCACTGAGGGACAGTGAGTTTAAAAGGGAACTTGCCAAACAACACAACAGGAAGTGTGAAGGTCAAGAGGATCATGCATCATCACTGTCTTTGCATAGACAGCAAGAGTGTCGCTGCACTTTTAACTCCAGAGAATTGATCCTCCTCTTTTAGTGATGACAAGACTTTCAAGCCACCGCCTCTCTACACAACTCAGAAATCAACGGGATTATTCACACTGCTCACAAAGAGCTGTGGCCATCTTTCCACCTGCACTTAGAAATGCTTCTTACTCTCTGTTAGGAGATCTCGTGCCGCTCATCTGCATTTTCCTTCCAAAAAGACGAATCTATCCTCTGTTCATTCAGAGTCCCACATTTCCATGTTAGAGAAAATGTCAGGTCCTGTCCCTCTAACCTTGTCTCCTAGAAATTATGTTAATGTATTACTAAATTATTTTCCCAATTATGATGTGGTGACAAACGTAGTTGATGGCTGGAGCCTAGGTTTTTTTGAGTGAGCGACACAAGGTGTTTGGGTCAGTGGATTTTGACACCAGTGACCGGGGTTCACATCCCGACTCCCAGTTGTGGGTAGGTTAAGTCAACAAAAACGCTTTGGTTGAGGTTAGGGAAAGATTGCAGTTTTGGTTAAATGTAAATAAGCACATTGTTTCTGAAGTCACTGTGAACTTTCCCTAACCTTAATAAAGTCCTGTGAGCGTAGGAGTCAAGTACTGTACTTAATACTCTACAAACCTGAGGTACTTATACTTCACTTGAATATCTTGTTTTCATATTACTTTAAACTTGTTCTCATTTCAGAAGGAAATGTAATTATTACTGAAATTACATTTATCTTACAGCTGTAGTTACTATTTATTTACAAATTAATTTTTTCTTGCAATACAGGAGGATCTTATAAAATGTGAGGCTTGAAATTCAACTGCTCAAGTATAGCTGAAATGATTAATCAATCAGTCGAATGATAGAAAATTAATTTGGAATCTATTGGCAAAAATAATTAACATTTCATGGTTCCAGCTTCTCAAATGTTAGGATTTTTTGCTTTTCCTTTTTAGTTTTACAAACCAAACAGTCAATTGATTGAAATATGCATCAGATTAATCCTTATTAAAAATATAAAACCTGAGCTCCACTTTAACCAAGTACAAGCATAAAACGCTGCCAACATATTAATGGATGAGTTATCTAATGTAATATCTACATATATATATATACATGTTCATAAAAATAATAGTTTAACAGTCCATTTTTCTTTCATCTTTTTTCTTTTAATAATCTTGAGTACAACTTCCTGATTATACTTACATACTTTTACTTAAATAAGATCTTAAATGCAATGTGATATTAGTATTTAAGTAAAGGGTCTGAATACTTCCTCTGCCACTGGAACAGTTAATCTAGTCAGCATTAAACTTCCTTCAAAACATATTATCTGTAGCAAATTTGTTGTAAATTGATGTAATTTCTAGAAGACAGTGTTGGTACCTCCCATGACGTTTTCATAGCCCTTTACCTCGATTCACTTTCCATTTCTCAGAATCCCTAATTCCACAGTTGCTGGCTCCTCATGTTGAGATATTTGCAGACATTTCAGCAAAATTGATGTAGCTTACTGTTGTAAGCCAGTTGTCTGACAGCCACATCACCATGGAAGTTAAATATTTACACAAAGAAATCCCAGAGATCCACACAGACGTCTCTCCTGGTGCTTAATTTGCAAAATTCAGCTCTAATGTTGTTTAGATTGTATCACATGCAAAAAGCTCATCATGCCCCCAGGATGTACTAATTAGACTGATAAGGGGTTATTATTTTCTTCAATATCTAGTCACAGTCATTCATTGTATCAAAGGGGTCATAATGTATTATTTTTCTGAGTATTAACTTTATCTCACACAGCTACTGTCTTCTTTCATTATATTTTACTGTACACATTTGTAGCATTACTCAAAAATATAAGTCCCAAAGCTGTCATTTCCATCCTTTCAATTACATAGTAGAGTTATTACTTGATCAATCAAGTATTTCAAAAAAATCTACTCTCAATACAGTACATAGATTTTATTTAGGTTAAGAATTAGCTGCTGATGTCTGTGAAGTTTTCACTTGATTGTGTTTCCAACCTCTTCTCCTGTTTTTTACACTTGTAGTAACTGATCAAATTTTATAGCTGATGTTATCCTTTTTTTATTTAGTGAGAATCCAATAGTCTTTCTGAATTTTACTGCAGTCTTCTTAACAAGCTCTTGATGGAGTGCAGAGTATAAATATCCTGCTTTTTTTCTCCTTTCTTTTTTCTTCCACCTCCACCTCCTCTTCCTTCTCTCCTTCTTCCTCCCCTTTCTTCTTTGTTTTGTTCCTCTTATTATTTTTGCTGTTGGTGTTATTTCTGCTTCTAATTGTAGTGTTTAAGAATGTGACCAGCTTATCTTGAAATGCTGTTTCGTAAGTTAATGGTAATTATGTCGACAACAACTACAACCAAAAAAAGCAGATTTACTTGAATAATTATTTTTGGAATATATTCAGACATTTAAATAATGCAGAACAAAGAACGAAGCAGGAGTAAGAGGCAAAACTGGCAAAGTGAAGACTCAAATATTTGCCCTGCCGTAGAGTCCTTCTGCAAGGCACAAAATGTTAACATTTAACCTGCATGTCCAGCTTTTTGCAATTTGGACTGTTTGTTGTTGGACGTATTAGCTTAATCTTTTTCTCTATAAAGCTGTTCAACCTTGCAGTTCAACCTGTGTAGGAGTGACCTTTCAGATCAACTCTCTGATTAATCACATGTATGCTCAGAGGAGGAATAGCCAATGAGAGATAAGGATTTAGTCTGCATCTGCCTTATTCTTTATTAGACTGAATGACCTGTTACTCTTCAAAATCATATGACATAAACATTTTTAAAAGTTATTTGTGTGAAATTCTTAATATCTTAAATTGCAACAATCTAATATTTTAATAAATATAAACTGGGGTTGAGAAGCAAGGACTGAATAATAGGAAATTGTCTGAAACTGAGGCAAAGAGAAAACAGCTGGAGTAGAAAATAAGTTTTGCTTCTTGTAGATGAGGTACATCAGTGAATTTATTGTCACATTTCTGAGTAGGCTACATATTAAGACAATTAAGATGCATTAAAAGTGACGATAAATGCAAAAAGAAAAAGTGGGGTAACATGCTATTAAATGTTCAAATCAAAAGCCAATATTTGACTAAAAGTGCCCATTTCTGAATTACACATATTGCCTCAGCTAACACATTATTCATCGTGACCAACTCATATTTTTTGAACAATCATTTCAAAACGGTAGAGGGTGTGTGCTTGTTTCTATCTGACATTGAACTCAAGGAAAATTAAGTCTTAATGGGTGTTGATGAAAATCATGGCAATATAGAATGAAATGTTTTATGCAGATTCATGCTTACTCTGATTAAAGTGATGCATGGAATTAATTAACCTCGCCAAAATGACTGCCCACTTAACCATTTTAAAGTACTCAACATTGATATAATTTAATGTCACAACTGCTTTAGTTCAGCACAGCAGAATTAGATGATAATGACTTTTAAGTCATAGTCTGCCCCAAAATCTATCTCTTGAGTATCAAACACTCTCCCTCTGTAGACGTTGAAGTTTGCTAGAGTTTTGTAGTTTCCTGCTTGGTGGGAAATGGTGGATGCAGTCAGCAGGAGGTAGACTCTTTAACATGCGCAAACCAACACATGCCTGCTAATGAGCTCAACAGAGACATGCATGAGGATTGTGATGCAAGTTGTGTATTTAGCCATATTTTGCATGTTGTTTGTAACATACTGTGCATACAGATGGAGAATGGAGGAGTGGTTTATGAAGTGGTCTGAAGAGTTCCTATGGATGTTTCCATACATTCCCATTGGAATTCATGATAACTAACATGAATTCACACTGACCAACCTTTCTAGAGATTTTGGGTGGAGTATGGCTTTAAACAGCAGTTTCTTCTTTATGACCTAAGCTCTAACGTGAAAGCAATACTGCATCATATCGATG